CCCTCCAGCAGCACGGTGGGCAAAAGCCAGGGGATACCAAAGGTAAATCAGGATGCCAAGCGCCAGATGTCCAGGTCCATCCTTTTCCTCCAGGAGTGTTATTCCAAAGTCCTCCTGGACGGAGCTCAAAGGCTCATGATGGCCCTGGGTTGTGCTGACGGGATCCTGCAGTCTGACTGCTGGGTTTTCTTTCCTTTTTTTCCCCTTTTTTATTTTTCCCTGTTTAAGGCTGTTGATGATGTCAAGAAAGGCTACATCAAAGCAGAGGAGAAGTCCTACCAGCTACAGAAGCTCTGTGAGCAGAGAAAGATGGTCATGGTGAGTCGTCCCACTTGTCCTGCTTTGTTTCCTCCAGTGAGCACCTTGCAGTGCCATACCCAGCACTGCTCCAAGCAGAGACAAAACCTTGTGCTGAGAGGTGCCCATAGCAGTCCGTCCCCTGCAGCTTCCAGGGAGAGCTGCTGTTCCGCAGTCATTGGGAGGCAAAGGTCTTTTTCTATCCAAAAAGCCCCAGAGGTGGCAGCGTTGGCCTCACAAAGAGGAGTGGATCCCGGCTGCTCGCAGTGCGGCTGCAGCGCTGCTGTGCCTTCATTTCTTTGTAGCCTGGCAGAAGTCCAGGGCTCAGCCCACGCTGGGCTCCCATAGCCCATACGCAGCTCTGACGTCCCCCAGCACGGACCCTGGAAGCGTCACCTGAGATGCTGAAACCTCTTAATGATTAACCAACAGGAGGATCAGCAAGCAGGCACTTCCTGCACTGGGCCACTTGTGGCTCCAAAGGGAGATGTGGCTCTTGGAAAAGCCACGCCTCCGTGTCCCCCTCTTGCATGTTGTGGTTCTGCTCCATGAAAACCTTCCCTTGCAATGAGAAATCACAGCCCTGGAAGTCCTTGGATGGAGCCTAGCTGGGGAGTCCTGGGACGGGGGCAGCTGTAGGGGATCCCCCAGATGGGGTCACGCTTTGGGGAGCCCTGCTGCCCTTGGGTTCCCTGTTTTGGGCTGCAGGGTTCTGAGGAGGGCCGTGTCCCCGTCCCAAGGTGTAACCCAGCGCCCATTTCTCTCCGCAGTATTTGAACATGTTGCGGACGTGCGAGGGTTACAACGAGATCATCTTCCCTCATTGCTCCTGTGACTCTCGGCGGAAGGGACATGTCATCACAGCCATCAGTATTAAGCACTTTAAACTCCACGCCTGCACCGAGGAGGGACAGCTGGAGGTGAGAGCAGGGCTCTGCGCTTAGCCCCGTGGCTCTGTAGGAAGCCTGGAGCTCTGGGCTGCGGTCCCTGAGTCTCTTCATGCGGCTTCGCTTCGCCACCCAATGTGTCTCGAGTCCCCCCGGCCCCCCAGGGGTTCACCTGGGTTCTGTCTCCCCTCAGAACCAGGTAATAGCGTTCGAATGGGACGAAATGCAGCGGTGGGACACGGACGAAGAGGGAATGGCCTTTTGTTTTGAGTATGCCCGAGGAGAGAAGAAACCCCGATGGGTTAAAATCTTCACCCCCTACGTAAGTAGCCCAACTCCTGGCAGGTTTGAGAAGCCAGAACCGCTCTGCGTCCGGGTGAAGTGGTGTCACCCAGGAGCCCATCCTGGGAGCAGTGACCTTCAACACTTTGTCAGTGACACGGCCGTTCTGTGGTTCTGAAGGTCCCTCTCAATCCAGCCATTCCACGGCTCCCTGTTTCTTCCCTGGGTCCCTTCCGACCCGGCAGTGCTGTGATGCCGTAGTTGTGTGACCTGTAGGCTCCCTTCCAGCCCAACCGTTCTGTGATCCCGTGGTTCTGTGCTTTCGTGTCCCTTCCATCTCAGCCGTCCCGTGTCTCCGTGGGAGCTGCACGGCCCCAGCGCTGCGGTGGGGACGCGGCCGCCAGGAGGAGCCAGCAGCACAGGCTGGGCTTTGGGTGCTGCGGGAGATCTGAGCTGCGCCCACTTTCTCTTTGCAGTTCAACTACATGCATGAGTGCTTCGAGCGGGTCTTCTGTGAGCTCAAGTGGAGGAAAGAGGTAAGGAGCTGTGGCTGCAGGGAATTGCCTTCACCTCCCACAGCAGCGTTTTGCTGGCGGACGCTCCTGCCTGTCCCCAGCAAGGAGGTTGAACAGGGAGCAGCGGGTGTTTGAGCTGGCTCTGCTGGGAGCGCGGTGTTCTGTTTGCAGAGCTGCAGGGAGCTGTGTGCCACGGTCCAGCGAGGAGCTCCTGGGGTTGGTGGGCTCTGCTGTCGCCCACAGGTGGCAAAACCTTAGTTCTGTGGCTGCAGAACTATTCAGAGGGCTCTCTTTGCTCAGAGCCATGCTGTCACCGTGGGTCCATCCTTTTGCCTTTGCCTGCTGGTGCCACTCAGCTCTCTTGTCCTCTCGTCCCCTCTGCCCTGGGCTCTCCGTGCTGTGGGGTTGGGAGCTCCTGGGCTGGGCCTAGCATTAGGCGTGAGATGCTGCAGTGGGACGAAGGGTCCCTGCTGTGTGACATCCATGTCCTCGTAGGCACCACGAGCTCTGGGCTCCATGACCCTGCTGCCTGACATCGCTGTCGCTTTGCAGGTGGCACTGCCCCTGCCCTGGGCTTAGCATCACCCTCTGTGTGGCTCAGGGCTGCATCCTGGCAGCAATCTGGGGCCAAAGCTCTGGGGCCAGAGGTGGGATGGAGATGGAGATGTGGAGCTGGTGGTGTTGAAGCTGGAGCTGCATTTCTGGAGCTGGTTTTCAGAGGTGGAGCTGGAAGCGGTGCTTAGTGCTGCTGGTTGTGCTGGGCTGCAAATTCTGGTGGTGCTGGAGCTGCTTTGCTGTGCAGAAGTGCTGCCATCGCCCCTCCTGCCGCTCCCATCTGCCTCGCTCCCCTCCCAGCCCCTCAGGCCCCTTTTTTTTATTTATCCCCTTCCGTCTTTTTCCCTCGTCAAGGTGGAGGAGGAGGCAACAGACAAGGATAACCAGAACTGCAGCACAGACACGGTGTGCAGCAAGGTAACGGCGCTGCAGCACCTGCAGGAGCTCCGCAGCGCCGAGCAGCGCCTTCTGCTGCGCCCAGCACGGCTCCTGTCGCACACAGCGCTGCTCCGCGCCCTGCCATGGCTGCAGGCTGTGCTGCTGCCTCCGGCTGTGTGCGCCTGCGCTGGGCTGCTCGCGGCTGTGCTCACTGGGGCGGAACACCCCCAGAGCCCTTTGATGGTGGCACTGCTGCAGAAGGAGCCCCCGGCCCCATGCATCGCTTCCTCTGCCCCACGGATGCCGAGCAGGCGATAACAGCAGGGCAACCCCCAGCGCTGTGGGGCGCAGGCTGTGTGTGCGCTGAGCATCCCCTGGCCGGGCCCAAAGCTTTGGATCCCATTCTGTCGATGCGCATCACAGCTCTGTGGGGCAACTCGCAGCTCCCCGCCTTGGCTGATGCATCCCCCCCAGCCTCACACGAGTTGGGCAGGGAGCGATTCTGCAAACGGTGAAATAAAGACGGGACGGAGCCCCCCCAAATGCAGCATCGGGGGCTCAAGCTTGGGTTGCTAATAGGCTTGCTCATGGCTGTGCTGTGGGGTGTTTGGTGTTTAGGGAAAGGGGCAGAGCCATCCCAGAGCTCCAGAACACCCCCACTTGAACCAGAAATGCAGCAGCGGAGCGAACACAAAGCTGCTGGGGCGCAGCGCAGGCCGCCCTTTGATGCTCCCTTCTCCTCTCTTGCAGAACGTCTTCCAGACGGTGCGGGCACAGCAGAGGGACGCAGCCACTTAACCGCGGCGCAGCAGAGCGTAACCCCCAACCCCAAATTAACACTTACAAATTCTGTTATTGTATTAAAGCCCTTAAACTAAATATTATTAATAATAACACCATTTGTCAACGTCATCTTTGTGGGGCTGAGGAGGGCTCGGCCCCGTCCCGTCCCCTCAGCCCTGCGCCCATGGACGGCTCTGATCCCATTTTTTACGACTGGAAATTGAATTCATCCATTTGCACTGTTTGGACGTATGTATGTATGTATGTATAAAAAAAGGCAAAAAAATCACAAAAAAAACATGAAAAAGTGGTGTGTACTGATCCCATCCCCACGCACCTGGCTGCCTCAGGGGCAGCACCGTCGTTAAGGTGCCTTAGCACACACGTCCCTCTGTCCAACCACTCTGGTTTTAGGAATCGAACATTTTAGAGAGAAGAAAAATAAGGAGGGGTAGGGAAAGGAAAAAGGGGAAAAAAGGAAAAGGAAAGGAAGAAAAGGGGAAAAAAAGGAAGCAAAAAAGACAAAAAATAAAAAAAGAAAAGGGGGGGAGGCGGGGGGAGAAAAAAAGAAAAAATGGAGGGGGAAAAAAAAAAAAGAGGAGAAAAATAAGAAATGAAGAGGATGGGCGCTGTGAAATGAAGAGTTTGACGCTGCGCTGTTCCGTGAACGGGGTGCGAGCGGCCCCGGGGGGCAGCGGGGGCCGGAGGGTCGTCGGTGGGGCTCAGGGCGGGGGGCGCAGCTCGCGCTGCCGTCGGCCCCTTTCGGGCTCAGCTGCCCGCGCGCCGCCCCGCCGTCCTTCCCGCTGCGGAGCCCAGACCCCGTTTCTGCACGGAGCCCCGTTTCGCCCCACGCGCCCCCACTGCCGTCCGCTGCGGTGGCGTTTGGGCTTTTTGGGGTCGTTTTTCTTTTTTCTTCTGCCTTTTTCCTTAAGGAAACCGAAAGCGCGGCGCTGTAAGTAGGTCAGGAAGCGCCGCGGGGCCCCAGCGCCGTCTGACGGATCCGACAGCGCTGCGAAGGGCGACGGCGACAAACACAAAACCCTACAAGAAACCCACAAAAAAAAAAAAACCTAGAAAAAGAAACACGAAAAAACACCCTGCAAAAACAGATCCAGCATTCGGGATTGTTTTGTTTTGTTTTTGGTAACTTTTATTTAGACAGAAAAATAAAATAAGAGAAAAAAAATTAAATTATCGAAAGGAATCGCAATAAATAGCAAATAAATTAAGCGCCGGTGTCGCCACCGCAGACGGCGACTCCTGGGGGTCCGCCCCCCCCACCCCCCACCCGTCCCACCCCACAACGACTCAGCGGGTCCCAAAGCCCCGGTAAGGGGAGGAGAGCAGCGGCCCCGCGGTGCCGCTCACGGATTATCTACAGGGAGGCCCCGCGGTGCCGCTCGGCCGGGCTGGGCTGCGGGCTCCGGGATCGTGGGGCACGGGGGGCTGTGGGGCCGGGGTCCGCGTCCCAAGGGCGGGGATCCCCCTCTCAGGACGCCCCGCTTTTGGCGCGTCCCGATCTCGGCGCGTCCCAGTGTTGATCCACCCCAGTTTCTGTGCACTCCAAAGCGCAATCCTGATCGCAGAGCACCCTGGTCTTCCTGCACCTCAGTTTTGGCAGATCCCAGCCTCGGTGCATCCCAACGTTGCTGCATTTTGATCTCGGTGCGTCTCAGTGTCGGCACGTCCTGATCCTGGCACATCCTGATGGCGACGCGACCCAACATCAGTAAAACCCAATCCCACTCATCCCAATCTCTCGGTATCCCAGATGCGACGCATCCTGATTTTGCTGCATCTCGATCTCAGTTTTGCTGCATCCAACATTTGGCACATTCCAAACTTGACGCCTCCAAATCCCAGCGCATCCCAACTTCAGCACACGGCAGTTTCAGTGCACCCCATTCTCATGGCATCCCAAATTCAGTGCATCCTGATTTGGGCTCATCCCAACAGCACGGAATCCCGGTTTCACTGCATCCCAAACTCGCAGTATCTCAGTTTTGTTGCATCCCCATTTTGCAGCATCCCAATCTTGGTGCATCGCAGTTTCACCGCATCCCAAATTCAGTGCATCCTGATCTTGGAGCATCCCGATTCCAGCACATCCCAATCTTGGAGCATCCTGATCCCAGTTCGCCCCAATCCCGGCTTATCCCATGTGCAGCCACTCCATGTCCATACAGCTGTGGCCGTGCTGGGAGTGCAGCCCCCGGAACCCATAGAAAAGGGGAAACTGAGGCAGGTGGGGGCCGGGCAGAGCGGAGTGGCAGTGTATGTGTGAAGAGGGTCCCGCTTGCCCTGGCGCAGCCGCCCATGGGGTGGTATTTGGGGGGACAGGGGGAGGTGGCCATGTCCCTCCCACAATGTGAGGTGCCTCCCACGTCCCCAGCTTGGGGCTGGGTTTGGTCCTGTTTGGTGAGAAAGAAGCCCCAAGCGGGGACCTGGGTGGCAGAGGAGTGCCCCTACCCAAAATAGGGGGGTGTTGGGGGGAGTGCTGGGGTTGCTGGGTCCTCCTCCTCAGCCCATGGACTGGGATGGACCGGGAGGGGGAATCCATCTGGTCCTGCCGGGGGGGGGCCATCCTTCCTGAGCATATGGGGGTCTGTGTGCCCCCCCCGGCAGGACCGACCTCCCCACCCCAGGGGGGCTGCTCCACCGTTGGGGTCACCCATGGGTGCTGCGCTGCACTTCCAGACCTGGGCAGGAGGGAGAGGATGGGGGGCATTAAGTGGGGCTGGGGAGGACCCCAATGGCTTGGGGGGCTGTTAGGGGTCTGGGGGCTCACCCCTCAGTAGGGCCGGTTGGCATCTTTGGGCCTCTTGAGCTGCACCTTGAGGCGCTTCATGCCGATCTGGAACCCGTTCATGGCGTGGATGGCCGCCTGCGCGCTAGCTGGATTGTCAAAGCTGACAAAGCCTGGGAACAGCGGGGACATGGGGACAATGGGGACACGGGGATGGTGGTGACAATGGGGTTTGGGGACAGCAGAGACGTGGGGACAGTGAGAACATGGTCACAGTGGTGAAGTGGCCCTGCAGCTGGCCCACGATGTCCCCAGCTACCATAACTCTGTGCCCCTGGCCTTCGTGGCTCCAGCTGCGGTGTCCCCATGGTACTTTGATGTCCTGCTTGTGATGTCCCCGTGTCCCTGGACCTGGTGACCCCATCTGTGAAGTCCCTGATGTCCGCATGCTCTGGCCATTGTGTCCCCATATTCCTGGTCACGGTATCCACATCTATGATGTCAGTGGACATCCTTGGTGACCCCATCTGTGATGCCCCTTTGTCTCTGACCGTGTGATGGTGTCCTCATCTACAGCATCCCAATGCTCTTACCATGACGTCCCCATACTCCAACCACAGTGTCCCCATGTCTTGGCCATGGTGACCCCATATTTCTGGCTCTGGTGACCCCATCTGTGGTGTCCCCGTGTCCTGACCGTGGCCATGATGTCCCCACACTCTGACCGCGGTGTCCCACCCCCAGCCATCGCATCCCATGTCCCTACCGAAGCACTTGCTCTGGTTGGTGGCGCGGTCGACGAACACTTTGGCTGAGATGACGTTGCCGAAGGGCAGGAACATCTGTAGGATCTCGGTGTCAGCGAACTCCTGGGGCAGGTGGTAGATGAAGATGTTACAGCCCTCGGGGCCTGCGGAGGGAGCAGCGTCACAGCGGGCACAGGCCCGGGGCACCCCAAAAAACCCCAAACCCAACCCAACCCCGTGCACCCATCCACGGGGCACCCACAGACTCCAATGGATGACCCCAAAACCACTGCTCCTTGCTTCCCCGTGGCTACGGGCACCCCAAGCACAGCTCCATTGGGTGACTTAGGGGATCCTGGGGGAGTCCTGGGGACTCGGAGAGGGTCCCAGGATTGTGGGGTCCTAGGAAGGTTCTGGGGTGTCCCAATGTCTCAGAGAGTCCTAAGGGGTCGCAGGAGGTTTGAGGGAGTTCAGGACTGGTCTCAGGGTCCCAGGAGGCCCCCAGGAAGTCTTGGGGAAGTTCCTCACCTTCGCGCTGCTGCTGTTGGGGAGGGGGCGGGGGGGCCAGCAGTGGCCCTGGGGGGGCGAAGGCTGGGCTCACCAGCCCATAGGCGGCAGGGTAGGCGGCTGTAGGGGAAATTGGGTCAGCCCAGTACAGCCCAATGCCTCCCAACACATCCCAGTGCCCTCTAGTACCACCAGAGCTCCCCCAGTGCTCCCAGTGCCCCCCAGTGCTTCCAGTCTTCCCCCAGTGCCATCCCAGTCCTTTACAGGTGTGGCCTTCTAAACCATTCAGCTCTCCCCAGTATCCTCCCAGTTCCCCCCAGTGCCACGTCGTGCTCATCCAGTGCCCCCCCGATGTCATGCAATGCCTTTGCAGCACTCTCCAGTGCTCCCAATGCTTCCCAGTGCCCGTCAGAGCCACAAAATGCCTTCCCGGTGTCAACCATTGCCCTCCCACTGGCTCCCAGTAGCCTCCCAGTATCCTCCCAGTGCCATGCAATGCCATCCCAGTGCCTTCCAGTGCCCCCTCCAGTACACTTTCAGTCATGCAATGCCTGCCTAGTACACCCCAGTTCTCCCAGTGCCCCCAGTGTCACACAGTTCCTTCCTAGTACCTGCCAGCGCCCTCAGTGCCACGAAGTCCCCACCCAGCTCCCAGTGCCATGCAATGCTTTCCCAGTCCCTCCCAGTGCCCCCAGCGCTCCCACCTGTGTAGTGCTGCATGCCAGCATATGCCTGCTGCAGGGGGTCCGCAGGGGCAGCGGGGCTCTGGGCTGGGGGACAGAGTGGGAGGCGGTTAGGGGAGGCAGGGGGCATCGAGGGAGCAGCTGGGGGGCAGCAAGCACCTGGGAACGGGGGGACCCCTCCGGCGTAGACGGCTTCAGGGGCGGGCGGCCCCGCGGGCTGTGCGGGCACCGGGCTGTACCCATTGACACTCAGTGGGGCTGCGATGGCGGGGACTGGTGTGGCAGCCATGGCCGGCGGCGTGCTGGTTCCTGGGGGACAGCGGGGTCACCACGCTGGCGTTGGCACCACGCCGTCCCCATCTGGCTGTGGATCCATCCCCTGGTGGCCACCACATCGCCATCCCACACAGACGCATCTTTGGGGTCCCCATCCAACATGGACCCAATCCGGTGTCCCCATTTCCGGCGTCCCCACCTCTGGCATCCCCCATCCTTGATGCCCCCAACCCCCCGTGTCCTACGTCCCACATCTCCCACCCCAGATGACCCCCACACCCCTGATGTCCCCACATCCCCAAGTGCCACCTACCTGAGGAGGGGGGCAGAGGGGTGGCGATGAGCCCGTTGGGGTTGACCGTGCCCATATGCTGCATCTGGACGGCCATGGTGGCCATGGGGCTGAGGTAGGCCGAGTGGGCGGCCACCAGGGCCGCCTGCTGCTGCATCAGCTGTGGGGACAGAGCTGGCACCGCACACGGCCACCAGGGTCCCTTCCCAAGCGTTGTCCCCACGAGACTCCCGTGATCCAGTGGGTGTCCCCCATTTGGTTGACAATGCCCAACTTGGGAACCCGGTGTCTCCTCACAGCATCCCGTTCCCATCTCCGACCGCGCTGGGCCATGTTTCCCCACTCCACCCAGTGACCCCATCCTGGATTACGGGATCCACCATCACTGGGTTTCACCAGTTCCTGTTGCCCATCACTGCAGTACGGCCATCTCAGAATGTGGGGACCCACCACCTCACCCCATGGGCGCCCATCAGCTCACCCCATGTCCCAGCGCAGCCCTCCGAGACCATCCGCCACTGATGTCCCCCACCCCATCGCCCTTACCACACCACAATGTAGGGCCATCCTTTCGGCTGCCTCCCCACAACACAACGCCCTCACCCCACGCCCAGGCGTTTACGTCCCCCCGATCCCCATGCCCCCTACCGCCTGTGTGTAGGCGCTGTAGGCCCCGAACTGGAGTGCTATGGGGCTGAACATGCCGAGCTGGCTCGCCACCTGCTGCATCCTCCGCAGACCCCGCTCTTTCTCCGTGTCCGCAAACTTCACCACCAGGCTGGATGAGGCGCCCTGTGGGACAGCGATAGGATGGGGAGGGGTCAATCGGAGGGCTGACGGTGTGGTCAATCGGAGGGATGGTGGGGACGATGTGGGGATGGCACTGAGATAATGGTGGGACAATGGTGGGGATATTGGGAGGGACAACGGGAACCGCGGTGGGGATGACAGGAATCACGACAGGAGGGGTGGAGGCGGGATGGAGACAACGGGGACAGTGGTGGTGGTAACCATGGGGACAGTGGTGGGGCTGGCAGTGGGGCGGTCAGGGATGGCGGTGGGTTGGTGGCCCTCACCGGGAGAGTACGGCTCCCGTGGAGGGCAGCGATGGCAGCCTGGGCCTCTGCATGGCTCTGGAACTTGACGAAGGCACAGCCTGGGGACGGCGGGGTCAGCAGGGACGATGCCCGGCCCTCCCCAGCCCAACGCACCCTGACTGCCCCCATCCTTGTCTCCATTCCCATCCCCATCCCCCTCCCCATCCTATCCCCAACTCCACTTTCATCATCCCCATCCCCATCCTTGTCCCCACCCCCATCGTCCCCATCGCCATCGCCATCCCATCCCCATCCAACCCCTGCCTCCACCCCAACCTCACCCCCACCCCATCCTGTCCCCATCTCCACACAGTGACACCTTTGCTGGTGCCGTCGGGGCCGCGCAGCACTGTGCACTCATCGATGGTCCCAAAGGGTTCAAACATCTTTCTCACATCCTCGTCTGCCTGCTGCTTGCTGAGCATCCCCACAAACAGCTTGCGGTCCTCTGCGGGACAGCGTGGTGACACTGGGACACGGAGATGGACACCCCCTCACCCGGCCAGGATGGGGACAAGGGATGGGGACAGTGCAGGGACAGCCAGTGCCCGACCAGGATGGTACTGGGGACATGGGGATGGGGACAAGTGGCCCCCCTCCAGGGACACAGGGACACCAAGATAGGCTGAGACCTGGGATGGGGACATAGTAGGGGGAACGCCTCTCGTGGGGCTGCTTGGGTACAGGTTGGGGACATGGGGACAGTGCTATGCTGGAGCCTCCCCAGGGACTTGGGACACCAACGGGATGGGGGACACAGGAGGAGGACAGGGATGGGGCCATCCCCACCATGGGACATGGGCGGAGGAGGAGGGGACATGGGGACATGTGTGAGGGACACGAGGATAAGGTGACAAACAACACGGGGATGGGGACGGCCACCCCCACTGGGGATACTGGGTGGTGGGCAGGGGTTGGCGCCAGCCCTGTGGGGGACACGGGGTGGCCCTTGGGGGGCCCCATTTGGGGACACGGGGGCGGTACCTCCTCGGCTCTCACTGTCCGCCGGCTTCACCTGGATGGGGCGGTTCATCTGGGGGGGCACAGCGAGCGATGGGGATGCAGCCCCCCAAAGCTCCCCGGGTACCCCAAAGATGCCCTGCGTTACCATGGCAATGCTGCCTGCATCCCATTACCAGGCAGCGGGCACCATGGCAACGACCACCTTCTCCCCCCCCCTCCATTAACTGGGGGGGCTGGGGGGCTGACCCCACCCCCTGAGAGCAACATGGGGGGGGCAGGGAGCAGATGCCCGGTAACCATGGCAACGGGAGGACGTGCTCCATGGCAACCGCCCACTCATCCCCAATTTCCCCATCCCGTTGCCTGGCAACGGCGCTGACATCAGCAGCGCTGCGATAAACAATGACAAGGCCGGAGGGGGGGGAGGGGGTGGATTTGGGGGGCCCCCGAAACCCCTACGGCTGAAGGAGGTGGGGGAGGGGCGGGGGGCGTTGTCCCCATCTCACCCCACCCTCCCCCCTATTTCCCACGCAGAAAGCGAAGGTGCCCCCCCAGCCCCACAACCCCCCCCCATAAAGCCCAGATGGCTCCCCCCCCCCCGCTTTAATCCTCCTTAATCCCGGGATTATCCTGGGATGGAACTGGAGAAATGGAGGGGGGGGAACTGCTAATAGGGGCTCCCAGCACCCTAAATCACCCCCCCCCCCCCCCCCCCAGTATAACAACCCCCTAAATCCTTCCCCCATCTAACAGCCCCCCCCGTCGGCACTGATGGGGACAGTGGGTGACATTTGTGTTCCCCTCCACATAAAACATCACACTGGGGGCAGCTGCTGGGGCCGTGCCGCTCCTTAATCCCCCCCCTCCATCAACCCCCCTCCACCATGCAAATAATCCCACCCCCCCACCCCATAAACCCCACCAAATCCTCAGATTATCCCAAAGAAGGTAAATCCCAGGGGGCTCTGATGGGGGGGACTTGAAGGGGGGGACAGTGAGGGGAGGGATTGTTCAGGGTGGGGATTGTGTGATGACCTCCCCCTGGGCTTCCAACCCCCCATAATATCTGAGGACCCCATAATTCCCCTCTAGAAATGAGTCTTTGTGGGGAGGGGGGTTGTCTAGGGGTCCCTGGCCATAATTAAGAGGAGAACCCACCCAAAATGCTTTGCTCTCCCCCCCATATAAATGGCATTTCCTCCCCACGACCTCTTTTGTTGTCTGTCTGTTGGGATTTTTGGCCCTGAGGGGGATGTTTTGGGATTCCCAATTGGGGGGAGGGTTTCTGTGTACCCCCAGTATTTACACTTGGGAACTCCCCCTCCCCACATTTGTCCCCAGGAACCACTAAACTCTCCCATAAAGAGGTCTTCTTTTTTTGGGGGGGAGGGGGAGAGGGGGGAGAGGGTTGGGTGTCGCTGGCCATAATAAGTGGGAAAGGGCACCCATACGGAGTGGGGGCGGGGGGGTCACTGTACCACCCCAACGTGCGCACATGGGGTGCTGTGCACCCTCAAAGCGTGTGTGTGTGCATCGGGATGGGAACCCCTGCATGTCCCACGAGATGTGCAAAGTGGGGAGGGGGGACGCTACACCCCAAAGGAGGTGTAAGGGGTTTTTTTTTGGGGGGGGGGGGGCACTCACCCCCGGCAGCGTTTTCTGCTCATGGAGGGCACTCTGCGCCTTCAGGGCCGACTCACGGGCGCAGTAGGTGAGGAAGGCGCATCCTATGGGGGAACGACGGGGGTGTTGGGAGGGGACACAGAGACCCCCCACCCCACAGCCCGCAGTTTGGGTGGTAGTGGGGTCCCCACAGCCCTTCACCACCCCCCCGCCCCAAGCTGTGGTGTCCATCAGCACGGCCTCAGGGCCTGCTCAGACCCCACAGCACAACAACACCCCACATACAGCCACCACACAACCGCCGGGCACCCCTACAACCGTTACACCCCACACAGCCCCAGACAGCCATCACATGGCCCATACAACCAGCATCCCCCATGCGCCCACCCTGAGCTCCATCTACAACCATCACAGCCCACACAACCATCCCACACTCCACACACAGCCACAACGCCCCCAGATGCCCGCTGCATGCTCCCCACACAACCGCTGTACCCCACACAACCACTGCACACCCCAAACACGACCACCAGACCCCACACACACCCAGCTCTCTCGCCACAACCCTGCACACATCCCACACTGCATCTCACCCTCCATAACCATCGCACGACATCGCGCCCCATACAACCATCACACCCCACTCACCACCTCCACCCCACACCATCCATACAGGCGCTGCCCCACCACAGTCCTAAGAGCTCCACAGGGCCCACCCGCACCCCTTGCCCTGTAGAGCACAGCCCCCACCCCGTAAGAGCAAACCGTACCCAGACTGTAGTGCTGTTCTGCAGCTGTGGGGCTACTCTTGGGCTCCAGAGCTGCCTGTGGGGCTTTGGGCCTATGGGGCTGTACTCAGGGCTGTGCCCGTGCCATAGGGCTGTACGTAGGGCTGCCCCTGTCCATAGGGCTGCATGAAGGGCCGTCCCCAGTGCCCGGGGGCCACCCTCAGGCCCCACGACTGCGCGCAGCTCCTGGCGCCCGCTCCACACCCCTGTTCCCCCTCCCCATTCCCGCTGCCCGCACCCCACCTTTGTGCATCCCGGTGTATTTGTCCTTGATGACAGTCAGCTCGTAGATCTTCCCGAACTGCTCGAAGATGGGCTTCAGGTCCTTCTCCTCCAGGTGCCGCGGGATCTGCCCCACGAAGAGTTTGATGGCGTCGGGCTCCTTCATGGGGCCGCCGGCGCTCAGGGCCGCGCCCTCCGCCCGGTGCCCTCCCGGTGCTCCCGGTGTTCGGTTCTGCTGCTCCCGGTGCCCAATCCCGGTGCTCCCGGCGCGGTCGGTGTTCGGTTCTGGAGCTCCCGCTGCCCTTTCCCTGCTTCTGGCTCCCAGTTCTGGTGCTCCCAGAGCTCCTGCTGCCCGGTTCTGGTGGTGCCGGTGCCGCCGATGCTCAGATCCGGTGCTCCTGGTGCTCCCGATGCCCTTTTCCTGATTCCCGATGCTCGATCCTGGTGCTCCCGGTGCTGTCAGTGTTCGGTTCGGTGCTCCCAGGCCCCAATCCTGGCACTCCCAGCGCTCCCAATGCCTGATTCGGCGCTCTTAGTGATTGGATCCGGTGCTTCGGGTGCTCTCGGCGATTGGATCCGGTGCTCCCGCCGCCCGTTTCTCAGCTCCCGTTCCCCTTTTGCCCACTCCCGCTACTCCCGGTTCTCCTTTCCCGTCTCTTGGTGTCTCCGGTTCTGTCTTCCTGGCGCCCCCGATGCCGGTTCGGCGCTCCCAGTGTCCGTTCCCGTGCTCCCGGTGTTCCCGTTACCCGATTCGGCGCTCCCGGTGCCCTTTTTTTCGGCTCCCGGCGCCCGGTTCGGTGCTCCCGGCGCTCCGGTGCCGGTGACGGCGGCGCCGCACACAAAGGAGGGGCGGCCCCGGGGCTGAGGGCTCCTCCGGGGACGGGGCGCGGTGGGGCGGGGGCTGCGCTCTGCCCGGGGGCGGCGCTCCGGGGCCCGACCGCGCTTCTCCCGCAACCGCCGCTCCGCCCGGAGCCACCGGGTACCGTCGTGCGGGGTGATACAGGGGGTGGGGGGTGGGGATATGGGGATGCGGGGATATGGGGTGGGGATACGGAGGGGGAACGTGAGGGGGATGCCGGGTGTAGATATGGGGGCGTTTTATGGGGGATGTGGGGTGGAGATCTGGGGGGGGATGTGTGAGGGGGGATACGGGCATAAGGGGTGGGGATATTGGGGGGAATATGGGGGGGTGTGGGGGGGATGTGGGGGAGGTGTGGGGTAGAATGGGGATATGGGGGGGTCAGAATTGGCCCCGCCCATAGCGCCGGTACGGGGGGGGGAATGGGAACTGGAACGGAAATGGGAAAATGAGAAATAGTGGGAACAGGAACTGGGGACGGGAATGGGGTCGGGAGCAGCCGGGGCGGAGGGGGGGGGGCGGAGGGGGGGGGCGGCGCAGGGGGGGAGGCGACCGCGCGTGGAATCGCCGCAGCGCTGGGACACGCAGCACCCCCGGGCGCTGTCCGCGGTGCTGACCGGAGCGCCGGTGGGGCGGAGCTGGACACGGAGACACGGACAGACGGACACGGGGTCGTGAGGATGCAGACATGAGGACATGGACAGACATGGGAAAAGATGGAAACTTGGACACGGGGACAAGAGGACACGGACAGACGTACACAGGAATCTGGGGACACGAGAACACAGACAGACACACGGACATGGGGATATGGCCATGGACAGACAGATGTGGGAACGGATGGGGACACAGACACGGGGACACAGACATGGGGACAGACAGAAGGACACAGCCACGGATGCACGGAGACACGGACAGATGGACTCAAGGATGTGGGGACGTGAGGACACAGAGATACAGACGTAGGGACACACGGGTACATGGAGATGGGACACAGAGACAGACACGTGGGGTGTGGACACACGGACAGAGCGTGTGACACGCGGTGACACAGTGACGGTCACACCACCACACACACCGTCACACGCAGTGCAACAGCTGTAGGATCGCCGCACACAGCATCGCACCTCCGCAGGCACGGGGCCGCACACAGCACACGCGGTGACACGCGCCCTGTTACACGCGCCCCGATACACACCGTTACACACACGGTTGCACAGACACACACACACACCCTGAAGCCCCACAGCGACCCCCACACGGCGCTTTTGGGGCGCACCCACACGACCCCCATCTCACACCCGTTACACAGGACAGGGTCGCACACCCGCCGTTGCACACTCGCCGTGACCCGCAGTCACGTGGTCACACGCGCACCTCACACCCTGCCGGCCGTTACCCGCTCCTCCCCCCGCCTCCGAGACGCCGCACTTCGGCCCGTGATGGCGGCGCCTGGACCGGCGGCAGCGGGAGCTGAGCGGGGGGTGCGAGCGGGGAGGGAGGGAAGGGAGGGGAGGAGGACTCTGGGGGGATGGCGCGGTGACCCGTGGCCGTGTGTCCGTATGTCCGCCCGTCTCCCGCAGCCGTCCCTGCGCCCGGCCGTGGAGCGGTACCTGCGGGAGCGGCCGGAGGTGGCGATGCTGCTGCGGGGGCTGCTGCGGTGAGACCCCCAAACCCGACTCCATCCTCATCCCAACCCCGACCCCCCCCCCACGACCCCATACCCCCCCTCTCCCCCGCGGCCCCATTCCTAACTCTGACGCCCCTCCTCTCCTCCCCGTTTCCAAACCCCAACCCTCGGGGTGGTTCCCCACACCACAATGCTATGGGCCACCCCACTCAGCCCCACAGAAACCCCCAATGGGTTCCGCCATTCCCACCCCACAGCTTCTTTACCTGCAGATTCTCCCCCTCCCCCCCTCTCGTCCCCAAACTCCCACAATCTTTCTGGACCCCTATCCCCCCACCCCACCCTCTCAAACCCCACTAGGGGCCACCTTCCAACCCACCTTTTGGGGTGACCCCCTTTCCTCCCCACTGCAGGGAGGTGATGATGCGACGGCCCCACAACGTCCTGGAGTTCGCTGCAGGTGGGGGGACACCGGGGGACCCCACAGCCATTAAGGGGACAGTGACAGCCCCGGAGTGTAAGGGGACCCCAGTGGAACAGTGGGGATGGGGGGGGACGCATCAGAGGAATGGTGACAGCAGGGCCCAATCCCTTCACAGAGACAGCAACACCCCTAAACCAGGGGGAGCATTTGGGGAGCACCACCTAGGTGTGTGGGGGGGAGTCGGACCATTTAGGGACAGGGATATCAAAGTGTGGGGGGCCCACGATGGGACAGTGGCACCAGGGTGCAAGAGGGCACTGGGGCAACGACACCGAGGGGTGTGGGGGAACTACCTGGGAGCAGCGCCACCAAAGCGCAGGGATCCGTTTGGGGACAGCATCACGGAGCACCGTGCTCCCACCCATTGCAGGGTACTTCACGGACCCAGAGCTGCCGCGGAGGATTCGGGATCAGCTGGGGACCCCACAGCGGCCGCAGTGATGGTGACGCCCCGTGTGACACAGCAGGGACAGGAACCCGGTGCTTGTGGTCCTGTGTGTCCTACAGCAGCGCTGGGGCTGCGGTGCTGTCAGCGCTGTCACTCCACAACCCGCTCACCTTTGGAGTCAGCCCCCGAAAATCCCTTTGAGGTTACCCCCAAACCCTGCTGTCCTCTCGAGTCACTTTGTGAAAACCCATTTGGAGTCATCTCCAAATGCCCCCAAACCACGTGCACCACCCCACATTCTGACCACTTTTATTCACTCAGCAAGGATGGGGAGCGATAGGGAACTGCTCCAGCGGGGGATCCCAAATCCACCCACCCTAGAAGGAGGGGGCTGTGGGTCAAAGCAGCTCGTCGCGCCGCGCCGCCAGCAGTGCTGCCTGCTGGGCCTGCCAGTGCCGGCGCCGCTTCGTCCGCGGCCGCATGAACTCCACCACATCCATGGGGACCCGCACCGTGTCCACCCCATTCACCTGTGGGGTGCAGAGAGGGAGGGGAGCTGAGGGGGCTGGGGGCAGCCCTACATGTTGCTGTTGATGGGGGTACCCCCCCCCCCACTCAGGGATTTTGGTGTTGCTCCAAGGAGAACCTTACAAAGTGGAGGGGGAAGCAGGGAGTCTCCTCCTCCCCTGCCCCAAAATCCCCAAGGGGACCAAAATCACACTGAAATATTAGACATTCATCCCCCAAATCCCACCAAAATCCCACTGACGTGAGGCAGCTCCATTCCCCAAATACCACTGAGGGGTGGGAACCCCATCCCCTAAATCCTACTGAAATAGTTCAGCCCCATCCCCTCAAATCCCACTGATGTGGGGCAGGACCGAGCCCCCAAGCCTGGTGGGAGCACCAGGACACACGCAGCGAGGGAAATGCAGCCCCTTCCCCATCTTCGCCCCCAGTCAGTGCTTCACTTCCAATTATCAGGACCCCAATGAGCCCCATGGCGCTGACACAGATTTGGGGACCTCAGAAAACGTAGGATAACAGCTGATGGCACAGAGGGTCAGCTCTGCGCGTACGTAGGTGGCAGGGATGGAATCTGGTTTTTTTTTTTCTGTGAAAAACCCCAAATCTTTCCTCCCAGCCTCCCCACTGGGACTGCGGATTCCTCTCTGGCACAGGTACGGGGCTCTCCCCACACCTCCCACACTACGGGGCAGGGGATGGGGAGGCTGTGGGGCGCTGTGCACTCACCGTCACGTCACACCAGTACTCGCCCCAGCGGGTGATGGGCTCATCGGGCAGCTTCAGCGCGTGGGGCGGCACCGACACCCGCAGCTGCGACAGGTCGGGAGTCAGAGGGCAGCACACAGGAGCAGCGTCCCGCTCCCTTCATCTTCTCAAGGCCTTCGCTGAAGCCCCGTGGCTCACGGAGCCCCACCCCGCGCCGTGGGGACGGAGCCCCCGCATCTCTGAGGGCACGACTCACGTTCTTGAGGAAGTGCCGCGCCACGATGTCAGCGTTCAGCTCCCAGCTCACGTTGTTCTTCATGCCCACCTCCAGGCGGCAGCTCCGCAGGAACTGCAGGGTCTGTGGGGCAGGGGGCGGTGAAGGGCAGCGGGCAGACGCAGCGCGGGGGTCGTATGAGGCCAAGGGCAACGTGGGGCAGGCGTCAGTGTGGGGGACAGGAGTTGATGTGTAGAGAGCAGAGATCAGCGTGGGGCAGGATTGAGGTGGGGGGTCAACATGGGGCACCCCACACACTCACCCTCTCTCCACTCTGCGTTTGGACGGCCTCCATCTGCCCTTCCCGGCTCTGCAATAAGAAGAAAACGATCGGGAACAAACCCAACACAGCGGCTCCCCGTGCTCCAAAGCTGTCCCTGCCCCAAACCGCCATCCCTTTGCTAACTAACAGCAGGGCGGCTAACGAAGCAACTCGTTCACTGGCTCACCTGCTTCTCCTCTTCAAAGAGCTGGCGGTTCTCGGGCGACGCGTACACAGCCAAGCCCTGCGGCAGCAGCCGGTTGCGCCCCACGGATTTCTTCACAGAAACGATGTCCCCACGGCTCCCCAGACCTGTGGGGACAGCAAGGGGCAGTGCCCCACATCCTGCTGGGGGAGGGGAGCCCAGACCCCATCCAAAATCCCACTGAGGCAGCATGTAGAAATAGCAATAGAGGGGAAATGAGGGGAAAAATGAAAATTGGAAGGAAAAGAGCAAAAAGCAGAATGGGGAAATCAGAAATTGAGTGGAAATTATTGTCTGGGCATCGAATTTCCTGCCCAAGCAGCAAGCTCCTACTCAGAGGAGCAGACCTAAAAGAAACCGTGCATTCCTGTTTATGGTGTTTTGTTGGTTGTTTTTCAACGGATCACGTTTTGTTTTGAAAATAGGGTGCAGGGGGGTGGAAGAGTCCAACCAGCCCCCCGGGGCCTACAGCAGAGGAACAACTCCAGCATCAGCACAGGTGGGGCTGAGCTGCCGGAGGGGAGCTCGGCAGAGAAGGACCTGGGGTCCCGGCTGGCCGTTGGCTGTCCAGCAGCCGGCAACCAGATGAATCCACGGCTGCCCGGCAGGACGCTGCGGTGCCCCCCCTCCGTCCCCACAGCCCCCCGGCCTACCCTCCACAGCCTGCGTCAGGATCAGCTCCAGCTCCCCGCGCGGCAGATGTTTGCTGTCCTCCACCAGCCTGTACACGCGGTACCGCCGGTGCCGGGCGCGGGGCGGCCGCCCCTCTTTGCTGAGCGGCACCTTCCACCACCGCTCCACCACCACCGTGTCCTGCGTGGGGAAACGGGTCACGACGGGAATCCTGCTCCGTTACGGCCCATTCTCCACCCCCCTCCGAACCCCGTTCCCCTCGCAGACCCCGGAACCGCCCCCGTAACACCTCCCGGGTCCCCCCGACCCTCACCCGCGCATGGCTCAGGCTCAAGGCCCGCCCCGCCGCCCCGAGCAGCAGCCCGCAGCCGCGCGTCCACAGCGGGCCCAACATGGCGGCGCCCGGCCCGACCCGAGGACCCAGGAGGACCCCGCACGGGGCTGCCCGCGGCGCGCCTGCGAAGAAAAGCACACGGAGAGTTGCCCGCTGCGCCTGCGCACAGAGGTCTCGCTTCATCCTCCCCCTCCCCACCCGAGAACCGTGGGGTGTCGCCCTATCCCCCCCTCCCCCCACACGCCATCTGTCCCCGCTGCACCGAGCAGCACCGAGCAGCACCGAGCAGCACCGAGCAGCACCGAGCAGCACCCCCTGTGCCCTCTGGGCTTTATTCAACCAGGAAACCAAACAGCTATTCCCCTCAGCAGGGTGAAAACAAGAACCGAACCACAACGATGTGGAGACAACAATGTGAAAGGCACCCCCACGGTGACCACAGCATCACCGACCCAACGGGACACATCAGAAACGAGGCACGGAGGGGCCCTGTGAACACAGCAGTGCCCACATGGCCTCCAGAGAGGGGCTGAGGCATTCCGGTGAGATCTGGGGACTCCGGGGCAGCTTTGTCTCGTCCGGTGGTTACAGAGGGCAGCTGGAAACCAAAGTTGGTGTGCAGATGAAAGCGGTGGTGAAACCAGCGCTGTCAATGCAGGGAGTGCTGTGACACGGGGCAGGCACTTAGCTTCTCGAAGCGCATCCAACACTGCGGCCAGCAAGGGTAGAAACAGCTCTGTGGGGTCCGTGCACACCATCAGCCCCTGTCCCTGAAGCTTTGGGGTCACGTCTGTGTGGTGGCACTGGGCAGCGTCCCTTCACAAAGGGTCATCCCCCTCTGGAGGCAGGGTTGGGCTCGGAGAGCGACATTCCCCCCTTCTGTGCCCCAACTGTCCCATTTCCAGCCCCAGGAGCAGGGAGGAAGCTCTACAGAGAGGACGGTGTGGCTCACCGAGGTCAGAGCATCACAGGGAGCTCCACTCTGGCACTGCGCTGTCACTGCTGCTGGTCACTGCCTGCACAGTGACAAACCCCACAGCAGTGTCAAAACCCACACACCCACCCTACAGTGCCATCTGCACAGAGATAAGGCCCAACCATGCCACCATGGGGCAGCCATACCTTGTGGGGTTCTGCCCTCCTCCTCCTCACCTCCAGAGCAGATGGGAATGGGGCCGGGGAAGGGGCTGACCCCAGGCTGGGCACTACTGGAGAAGACACAGTTGGTGTAGCACATGGAGTCGGTGCAGAAGACAGAACCAGAGTTCCCATCGGAGAAGGATGGGTGGCTGCTGGTGGAAAGGGCTCCACTCCAGGCGATTGGACGTGGCGCTTCAGGTGGGTAGGCTCCAGGGCCCCTGAGGACTGTGGGGCACCAGGAGCCGGGGCTGGGCTGGGCCTCGCTGTCATCCCTCTGAGGTTGTGAGGAAGTGGAAGGGCCAATCAGCAGCCCCGGGGCTGGGGGCTCTGCATTGCCCCGGAGCCGCTCGGGGCTCTCATCTATGGGCCAAAGGAGGGGATGGGTCAAGCGGAGCTCAGGTACTGCTTCCCCTGCAGAGCTCAGCCCTGTACCCCACAGCTCCTGCTGCTGCTCCTCGTGGCACCTCAATGGAAGACTGTGCTCCCCAGGGCTCACAGACCCCTTTGGGGCTCTTACAGGTGCCTACACCCAGAGCTGGAAAGAGACAACGTGAGCAGGGGGCTCTGCACAGCCCCCAGTACTGAGCTCAGCACCCGGAGGCCAAGAAGCACAGCTTCAGTGGCTCCCAGGGCCCTGGGGGGCCTACCAGCAGCCCCCAGGGGGCATCCCCTGTGTCTCCTTCCACCCCAAACGAGCCCTTTCGCACTCGGGGATATTACTGGAATTGGGGTTGGCCCCACAGAGCTCACCCAGCAGGCTGATGCAGGAGAGGGTCAGCGGTGTGGCGCTGGGGCTCGGTGGCAGCTCAGACAGGAGACTCTCAAGGGAGGTGCACACCATGTCCTCCTGCACACGGGGTTGAGAGGAAGAACCGTGTTAACTCCACAACGTGAGGTAGAAAGGTGAAGCTCCCAACTCTAGGGATGACCCAAGCCAAAATCTGGGGAGAGAAGAGTTGCCACCAGAGCCCTGCTGTGCCCCATCCCACTGCAGCTCCGCTCACCGGTGTCTCCACTGCAGCCTCTGTCGCTGGCAGTGGGAATCCACCCCCTGCCTCCTCCTCCTCGTGGGGCTGCAGGGCAGCATGGCCCAGCCGCACCAGCTCGGCCCCGATGTCAAGGCTCTGTGGGGAAATGAGAGGAAGATGAAGGACACCAAACCCTCGTGGGGTGAAAGGAGGGGAGCAGTGAGGCTCGGGACTCACCTCGCCATGACGGACGTCAAACAGCATGATGCGTGGCCATGTGCACAGCCCGGC